TTAGGATTTTTCCTTGGTAAACAAAAACTTAGGATTTTATATAACTTATATACATAGGAGCCGTTTTACTTTGTTTGCCTCTACTCCTATCTCACTCTCATAGATTCATTCTTATTTATGGTAAGATACAAAAACATTTTAGTTTAATTTGTTACTTGAAAGTTGAAAACTTTTGTTGGATTTATAATAACTATGTGATTACCCGCGCATACACGCAGGTTTTTATTTTATATTATTTTGCTAAATTTTAATTATAAATAGTTTTATATCTTTTACTCTATATGTGCTAACTATTTGTGAATAATTTAAAATATTCTTTCTTATCATGATTGATAATGTAATTTCTTGCTTTTTTGTTAATATGATTCGTTTTCTGTATTTTAAAGGTGTTTCATCCATTTATATATCATATCATATGTAAACATCTGTTAATCCATTGGGTTTGAAGTGTTTTCTGATCTGCTTTTTCTAATTTTCTATTGAAAAAATGTGGTCTCGAATATTTTGTTAATAGAGTGAGATAGAGCCAAAGTACCACTAACTATCATTGATTAAACAAAGGGAAAAAATGGCAGAGAAGAAGAGAGCTTGGGAATTCAAGGAAAATGGTATACAATGGATATGCAAATAATGAAAATCTACAAAAGAACAAATGAAGGATCGAAGTAATCAGGTCAAGTGGAAACGTCAAATATTAGTTAATGCCCAATCTCATACATGGTACAAGAGTCCCAATCTCATACATGGTACAAGAGTTTCGTAAAAAATTCCCTTGCCATTGATCTGAATCATTAAATGCAACACACGGAATGAGAAACAAACAAAAAATAAAGGACGCTGAAAATAATAACCTTTATTTCTGTAATGGCCTCCATACCATGTTCCACAAAGCAGGCTCTAAAGTATCATCTTCTACCCTGACTGCTTTAGTACATGCTGATTGAAACAATACTCTTTCCACCATAGAGACCAATAACCCAACAACACTATTCATGGGTCAAGATTATAGTGGCAAACTGAAGCGAGAGACTTTGGTAAAAGGAATGTTGTCACCTTGAGAGTGTAAGCTTATACATATTATTAAGAGTCGTATGTCCAACTGATTCTTTGATCGTTTGGAATGATGACATGTGGAAGAAATGAACTTGT